TATCTCAGTAATGACTTATCCTTGGCATTATCTGTAAGCAGTGAGTTTAATCAAATATTCCTAATGCTGTGTAAATTTTGGCAGCACAGTATTTGGACTAGTGATAGGTTTTATAGGTATTTTTAGATGATCTAAAAAAGCATATGCATGTTTTTCAGGTTGTTTTATTGCTTTAGGAGAACCTCAAGGTTTCTATAGTATATTGTTTCAGTATTAGCATATAAAATAAAGCGAAGGAATTAATATTACATTTGTTCTCCTTCCTGGTGGGTTAATGTGAAAAAATAAGTCGATTAATTCTTAGAACTCTACCAGCCCTGAAATAATCTCCAGGTCCTGGTTGTTATTGAAGCATTCCTGGTGATTCTTGGGAGGGGAGTAGTCTGCTCGCCATCAGTGTCTGGGGCAAGATGGTATACTGTGAAGGGGCATCAGTTGTTCTTGGTGATGTATGTAACCACTCTATACATCAAACAATTGCATTGCTACCCAAATATATGAAGGATGGTATTGAATCTAAAACCAAATCTTAGTTTTTACTAAATTCAGGTTAATAATCACGTCTTAATTTATTTTACTGTAAATATTTTTGTTACTGAGCCAAATTCTAAAGAAAAAATAAATATATTTCTTTGTGGAAATCCTAGCACTTTTATTGTTTTCTTAAATTAACTCACTAGCTAAAAGCATTTCCCTTCCCAAAAGAAATTTATTTTGTTGCATTGCTTACTTTCTGAAGGTCATGTAACTTCTTTAAGGCATCTCATATGGATTTCTTAACCAGAAGAAAAATTACTTTGATAATGGAAAACATTATGATGTAACATTTTAAAAATATATTGTGAAATGAGCACAGTAAATCTAGTTAATATATCTATTAGTATAATAGAATTATCTTCTTGTGATGAGAACTTTTAAGATCTACTCTGAGCACCTTTCAAATGTGCAATAGTTACTAACTATAGTCACCATGCTGTATATTTCATCCTCATGAATTACTTATTTTATAACTGGAAATTTGTAACTTTTGACTCTCTTCACTCATTTCACTCACCATCTACTCCCCCACCCCTGGCAACCACCAATCCGTTCTCTATACCTATGAGCTGGTTTGTTGTTTATTTTGATACCACATGTAAGATCAGACATCATTTTTCTTTCTCTGATTTATTTCACTTAGCATAATACCCGCAAGGTCCATCCACATTGTCACAAATGGCAAGATTTCATTCTTCTTATGGCTGAATAATAATCTATTTATATATATGTATATATATATATATAGATATAGATATAGATATACACACACACACACACACACACACACTCTGCACAATTCCTTTATCCATTCATCTGTTGACGTTTCCATATTTTGGCTGTTGTAAATACTGATGCAATGAACACGGGATACATAAAGCTTTTGGGGTTAGTGTTTTTGTTTTCTTCAGATACTCAGAAGTGGAATTGCTGGGTTTTATGATTGTTCTATTTTTAATTTTTTAAGGAATCTCTGTACTGTTTTCCATAGTGGCTGCACCAATTTACATTCCTACCAACAGTGCACAAGGGTTCTTTGCTCTACATCCTCGCCAACACTCAGTATTTGCCTTTTTTATAATAGTCATTCTAACAGGCGTNTTTGCTCCACATCCTCGCCAACACTCAGTATTTGCCTTTTTTATAATAGTCATTCTAACAGGCGTGAGGTGATACCTCCTTGTGGTTTTGATTTGTATTTCCCTGATGATTAGTGATACTGAGCACCTTTTCATGTACCTGTTGGCCATCTGTATGTCTTCTTTGGAAAAATATTCAGATCCTCTGCCCATTTTTTAATCAGATTGGCTTTTTTTGCTATTGAGTTGTAAGAGTTCTTTATACTCAATTTTGGCTATTAACACTTTATCAGATATATGATTTGCAAATATTTTCTCCCATTCAGTAGGATGCCTTTTTATTTTGTTGATGGTTACCTTTGCTGTATGGAAGCTTTTCAATTTGGTGTAGTCCCATGTTTAGCTTTGCTTTTGTGCCCTTTGTTTTTTATGTCAAATCCAAAAAAATCATCACCAAGCCAGATGTCAAGGAGCTTACTGCGTGTTTTCTAGGAGTTCTATGGTTTCAGGTCTTACATTCAAGTCATTAATCCATCTTGAGTTAATTTTTGTTGTGTATGGTGTAATAGTTTTCAGGTCAATGCCGTTTATGAGAGACTGTCCTTTCTCAACTGTATATTCTTGGCTCCTTTGTTGTAAATTAATTGACCATATATGTGTGGGTTTATTTCTGGGCTTTCTATTCTGTTCCATTGATATCTGTCTGTTTTTATGCCAGTACCATACTGTTCTGATTACAATAGCTTTATAATATAGTTTGAAATCAGGGAGCGTGATGACTCCAGCTTTGTTCTTTCTCAAGACCACTTTCACTGTTTAGGGTCTTCTGTGGTTCCCTGGAAATTTAGGATTATTTCTGTGAAAAATGCCAGTGAAATTTTGTTAAGGATTACATTGAATCTGTAGAATGCTTTGGGTAGTATGAACATGTTAACAATGTTAATTCTTCCTATCCATGAGCACAAAATATCTTTCCCTTTATTTGTGTCATCTTCAGTTTCTTTCACCAGTGTCATAGTTTTCAATGTAAAATTTATTCCTAGGTATTTTATTCTTTTAATGTAGTTGTAAATGGGATTGTTTTCTTAACTTCTCTGATAGTTTGTTATTAGTGTATAGCCACAGATTTCTGTATGTTGATTTTGCATACTACAATTTTACTGAATTTATTTACTCTAGCATTTTTTTGGTGGAGTCTTTAGGGTTTTCTATATATATCATGTCATTTACAAATAGTTTTAGTTTTTCCTTTCCAATTTGGATGCCTTTTCTTTTTCTTGCCTAATTGTTCTGGCTATGACTTCTAGTACTATGATGAATAACATTTAAAATTTGACATAAAAAGCAAAGTGGTCCCAAGAAAGCGGTTTGAAACTAAATGTTGAGCACTCACTGAGCCCCTGGGAACAACTCTCTTCTTTTCATGTAGCCCATGTGGGTAATGTAGGCTTTAGAAGCAATCCCAACTTACTATTGCTGTGCCACAAACCACTTCAAAACTTAAGAGGCTTAAACAGTAATCATTCTCTCATGGTTTCTATGGGTCAGGAATTTGGGAAAGGCTCTATTTGGCAATTCTGATGCAGGGTGTCTGATGCATTCACTGTTAGTGCCTGGAGCTGGGGTAGCAGAGGGCTGGAATAGTAGGGACGGGCCAGGCACATCTCTTTGCTTGGAGTTTCAGGGTCTCTCCATGTAGGCTTCCTCACAGCATGGCAGCCTCAGGGTGGTATTTTATACATGGTGGCTCAAGAACTACCAGAGCTTATGTGTTCCAACAAACCAGCTGCAAGCTCCATTGCCTTTTATGACCTAGCCTTACAAGTCACATAGCATTACTTTTGTNGAGCTTTTATACATGGTGGCTCAAGAACTACCAGAGCTTATGTGTTCCAACAAACCAGCTGCAAGCTCCATTGCCTTTTATGACCTAGCCTTACAAGTCACATAGCATTACTTTTGTCATATGATCCAGTCACCTCTTGATCTGAGGAATGTCAGAGACTTTACTGACATTTTATAATTGTCACATCCAGCTCAAGAAGCCCATTTGGGCCTGGCTGGCCTGGCTCAGTGGTTGAGTGTTGACCCATGAACCTGGAGATCATGGTTTGACTCCTGGTCTGGGCACATGCCCAGGTTGCAGGCTCAATCCCAGTGGGCGTTGTGCAGAAGGCAGCCGATTGATGATTCTCTCCTTGATGTTTCTCTCTCCCTCCTTTCTCTGAAATCACTAAAAACATATTAAAGAAAAAAGCCCATTTGGTATGGGAGGCAAGACCAATCCATAAGACACCACCCTCTGTGGGCATAGAGGGCCATGGGAGCTCAGGGAAGGTATTGTGGCAGTGGCCTTTGAGATTGCTTTTAAACTGGATATTCACATTTTGAATGGCATTAGCAAGGCCCAGAAGTAACAAATGGTTGGTGAACAACAAATGAGCAAAGAGGCCAGAATTGTAGGCAACATCAAGGAATGCCCAACTAAGAAGCTTGGAAAGGGGGAGGTTGGCAGAAAAATAATGAAGGTTCCTCTCCCCTCCAGACATAATTACAACAGGAGGGACAGTGGACTTTCCTTCTTGGCAACGGCAAGACCTACTCCCCTCGAGTGTGGTATTACAGGAGTTTATATCAATCTCCAACTTGGAAATATCAGATAACTATAAGCAGATTTCTGAAATACTGCTTTATTAGTTGCTTGAAACCATCACCTAAAATGTGACAGGTTCTGAGGGCACATAACAAATGTGTTGATGCCTGAATAGAAGTCTCCTAGAGGTGCCTGCTGTGTTGATCAGTGTGGTCTAGAAATGTTCTATAATCTGTGCTGTGCCATTCGGATAATACCTAACCACATGTGCCCCTGAGCATATGAAATATAACTAGGACTAGAATGCATTTTTAATTTTAATTCTAATGTAAATAGCCACATGGGCCTAGTGTATTGGCCAGTAAGGTCTAGATGAAGGATTTGACATCAGATATATGAGCAAAGTGCCAGGGGTATCCAGAGTAATGGGCTAGCCACACACTAATGCCATCCTGACTCAGGTTTACTGGATGGATCCAAAGGAGTCAAGGTCTCACTATAGCCTATGCATCCCAGAGAGACAGCCACTGAACTATACCATCCAAGACCCTAAAGTAAGCGACAGTGATAAACAAGAGCCATCTGGGAGAAAGTAATATAGGTTGGTGAGGGGGTTAACTTTTAGCCCTGGAACTCCCTTTCCGAATGGAAACTTCCAAAGACAATAGAAACTTGGAGCTATTTTAGTCCAAAGCAGGGGTGGAGGCCCAATGACTGTGGTGCCTCAGCCCTAGAAATGACAAAAGTAAATTCCTTTTTCCTTTGAACCTCATTCCAAACTGCAGCACATCTTGAGGTCAATAATGAAGCTTCATATTTATTGTCTGAAACAAATTTATTCTCAGAATAATGCACAAAAAGCACAGGTTGAGGCTACCATGGAGGCTTCCCTCCCTCTGCCACCACCTCTCCCTCCTCTCTGAATGCCAGGGAGAACAGTTGAAGGAAGAAACATGCAATCACAAACAATGAGCAACTCTAAAGACAAAAGGTTCGGTCCAAAAGAACTCAACATGATTAATCCAATTATGTGAAGAGCTTCACTGAGTAGGATTAAGATATTGCAGATGTAGTGTTTCCACAGGGCAGCTCTTCAGTGCACGAGGGGGGCCTGCTTGAGGGAGATGAGGACAGAGCGCATGCGGGAGACATCTTTGGCCTGCTTGCTGGACTTGGGGTTAAAGTCACACAGCCGGGCCACCCGTTCCCACTCAGTGCCTGGGGATGACTCGTCAATGTCATTTACAAAGGCTTCTTCTGCTGCCCTGGAAGCAACAACAAAATATGTTGGTTTAATGTAGAACAACCCCGTGAGCTACCTGCTGGCTGCCTTATTATAGAAGCAACCGCATCTTCATGCCTGACTTAATGCATTCTGGTTTCTAAAGAACCACAGCCTTTGGCCCAGGTCAGACTCAAGAGCAGACACATGGCCAGCTCTCCTAGGCACAGGGTGCCTGGACTGCTGTGTAAAATGTTGGAATACAGGTGTTTGGTTCAGGGCTCGCTCTCTCTGTGTCTGTCTCTGTTGATACAGAGCATTAAAAAAGCAAGTCCTTAGCCAGCTACACAATGCCTTTGTTAACAAAAGCAAAGCAGCAGGCTTGTCAAGAACTTGATCAGTAGATTATGTTGGGCTGTGCTAAGTTTCAAGTAAATTTAGAGATTTCTAAAAAGCCCACAGCTCACTGCACTACAGCTTCTGGATTCATTCCTAAGGCTGGAGAGAAACAGGGCAGATCCAAAGGAATTCAAAACAAGCTCCCATGCTAGCAGGCACTAGAGTCTAAAGCCATTCTGGAAGGGGGTTCGTTAGGACATTCTCTAGTTCAGCCATTTTCCCTCCAGCCAGGTACCTTGAGCCACAGAGGGCACACTGTAGCAGGGGTGGGCACCCAGTGGCTGGAGAGCCAATCAATGTTAGGTGCTTTTTGGTAGGATGCTGCTCCAACATTCTTTCAGTCAAGGTCAGCCCACCCCCACTTCAGAAGCAGCTGGTGGGAGCCCAAAAGGACAGTGGTTAAGAGGAGGAAAAGACACAGTATATTTATCTACTTCAACAAGCATCACGGGCAAAGCAAAAGCAATGGAGATGACTGGTCTTTGGGGACAGAGGGTCGCACTCTCACAGGGATGGCCGTGGCAAACACTGCTGAAGCCAGAGCCACTACAACACTGCGACTGCATGGCACACACAGTTAGGGGCAGTGAGAAAGATTTACTTAACTGTTCTAGGCTGTAGCAAGGATGATTTATGTTTGTGCTTAAAGGTGAAGAGAAGAAAAGAAACAAGGAGAGAAACTTTAGGTCAGATACAGAAAATGAGAATGAGCTCAATGCAGATGGTCAGTAAGCTAGACATGCCCTTGCCACTCTATTTACGCTTGGGAACGTGCAGCTGGCTTTGTTGGGTCACCCTGCTGCCCAGCAAACGCAGACTTGACCTTTCTAGTCTCCATTTCTACTCCAGAGAGAATGTGCAAAAATCAAATCCAACACCACCTGTAAATCCAGCATTTCACAAGTATCATTGCAAATACATCTGGGGGCCTAGTTTTGTCTTCTAATGGGATGAACATCTGAAGGTCACATGCCCCAGAGGCTCTGTGCCTCTCAGCCCGTTGTCCACCCTTCCCACAAATTCTTCTCTTCATTCCACCCTCATCTTTCTTTACTCAAAATCTAGTCCTAATATATAAGGAGGAAGCAGCGAGAACAGTTTCCAAGTCTTCAGCAATACTGCTTTGGTAACAGGAACCCCTAAAAAAAAAACTTCCAAAGATGCAGTTTTTGGAGGGGAGAAAAGCCAAAGTGGACCATATCAGACAGCTTTGGCTACCTTGACCTCGAAGCTGGGGCCTCTCTGTGCAAGGGTGAGGGGACAGGGCATCAGAAGTTGGCCACTAAACGAGTTCTGACATGTAAGACCATAGAGAAACCATTACAAGTCCCCATCGGAAACAACCCCTTCTGCCCAAAAGAGAGGCAACCAATCCCATGTTCTTCAAAAGAACCAAGTGTAGAAAATGCTGTGCTCACTGGCTCCTAACCAGGGCATCTACCTCTCCCAGGTTGGGGCCATTTCCCCTTCCCACCAGGGGCAGTGAGGTAGTGGTGGCAGCAAAAGGCCAGAGCCCTCCAGTCCCAAAACCTTCCCAGACAAGATCACAAATGACCCACATTTGGAAAAGGAGTCAGCTTCCTTCCCTCCAAACCCCTGAATACAAAAAATGGCAATCAGAGTTGTAGGAAGTCATGATTCTGCAAGACAATCAATGGATCATAGCCCCAGCTTATCAACTCAGACAGCCCCCACAGCATTTAAAAAGCAAAGCAACTTGTGGCATAAAAGGTGCATTAACTCTAAATGAAAAGTAGAAAGAAAACAAGAAAAGGAATTAGTTTTGCAACATACACATAACCAATCACGTCAGCGAAGGGTTGTTTGTAGAAAGCTTCATCTGCCACCCTAGACAGCAAGAGGTCCAAAAGGCAGGCAAGCAGGCAGGAAAAAAGAGAGAACATTGAGAAGCAGAAACATCTCAAATCCACAATAGAGGCACAACTGTGCTCTGGGAAAGCTGTTCCCAAGGCTCCATCCTAACCCAGCAAGGCTTCCAGTACTGGAGACTCCAGTGGGCACGGTTTCCTGCTGGCCTGCCCCACAATGATTCTTCCCCTGCCTTACCCCAGCCACAACGAGCATTTCCTAAGCACCTACTTATGGGCTAAGCCCTTTTACAGTCACTGTGTTGGTTCAGTTCTCAACCCCAGCAAGCTAGACACTAAGCGTTCTCACTGCACTTTACAGATGAGGTTATGGAGGCCTAGAGATGAAGCAACTCGCTCAGCGGTAAGAGGCAACAAGGGCAGAACTCACAAGCAAAGCTGCCTGGTTCTCTTCAGTGTATATTAGTACTTCCCAGCTGGTGTGTGTTCAGGAAGCAATGTCACCTTCCTGCCACCCCCAGTAACTATCACTGGGTGTACCAGACAAGCTAGGTACTAGAGCCAGTTTTATCTTGGGTTATCCAACTACTGCTTCTCCACACTGGCTGGGTGGGATCAACTTCCAGTATCCTAGGAACATACTGGTCATCTCAAAATTCCCACCTTAGAGAAAAAAGCAGCTGGAGGCAAGTGGTCTGTGGAAAGAACTGTAGACTAGGGCTCTGGCTCTGGTTTACTGTGTGTCCCTGAATAGGACTGTCTGCTCAGTCCATGCCAGACTCGACTGCTTTGACAAAGTGCAGCCCAGAAGCCAGCACTTCATTCTTCCTTAACTCTCACATCAGGAATGGGTCAAAATGGCAGGGCTCTGGGACAAGAAGGAAAGTGGAGAATGCTGAGTGGAGTTCACACAGCAGGAAACAAGCTGACTTACTCTGTTGCCCCAGGCTGCCTACCTCGTCCACTGTGGGTGGGCAGGGAATCTTGCTCAAGGAGTCTTACCCTGTCCTTTACCAGGTCAGTATGGAGCACAGGAGTGGAAGGAACATTTTTTAAAGGACAATCATGCCTGGTTATTAACATAAACTCACATTTATTTGAAGGGAAATGCTAGTGATTTTAATTTCAGTTTATTTTTAAACCCACACCCTTCCTTCTTTATCATTTTGGTTTACACATAGGAGCTGTTCTGTGGAAATTTAAAGAAAGCAAAAGAACAGCTTGATGGTAACTCAGTGAGTCAGCAGGAAAAGAGAGTTGTTTGTGGGCAAAATGAGTGGGAGGGAAAGGGAAGGCAGGCCAGCTTGTAAACCCATAATCCTTTTAGTTTACCCAAACACTAACCCTAATCAATTTCAACCTGCATTTTGCTTCTGCTGAAAGAAAATGAAGGTTTAATGACTCCTATCAAGGCAGCACTAAGACAACAAAGGCCTGAATGTCGGGCTTTTGCTCCTTTTTACAGCTAGCCCTAACACTCAAGAGCTTGAGTGTAACAGCACTTCTCTGCCATGGTTACAGACCCAGGACAAATGGAAAATCTCATCCAACAAACAGACGGCCCCTCCACCTGTTTGTTCTTCGCCCCTCAGACAGAAGGACCTGAGAGCAGCAATCCTCAGGCAAGGCAGGAAGGGGCTCAGGGAAGCCTGAGAGAGGGGAGGAGGAATGCCTTCGGGTCTGACCACAAGTCGCTCAAGACTGATACAGCGAGCTTGGAAAAAATGTTTGCCTCACTGGGCATCATGGATTCCCCATACTTTTACAAGTCTTGAGAGAAGTGAAGTCAGCACCGAAGCTACCTGCAAAAGGGGAAATGTTTCTGTTGTGGTCTGGGGTTGTTTGCCAGGAATAAACCCCTCTGACTGGCTCCTATAAAAAGAGATTTATTTTCCATGCGTTGTCACTTAATTCATGGCTCTTGTGCGGTGACATGTAAGCCCCAACTTGGGATAAAAGGAGGAAGATAAAGTCTGAGGAATGACAGATTATAGCTGCTGTGGCAAGGTCTGTTGACTGTTCCCTGCCCGTAGCCCAGCACAGTACCTGGCACAGATGTGCTCTGGCTTCAGTGGAGGGCATCTGGAAGGCAGAAAGCCTGATGATACACTCATAAAAATAGGGCTTGCTACCCCCGAGTCTCCTTTTGAACCTCTCTGCCACTCTACCTTATCTCTATGGTCCCCCTTATATACCCAACTGCTGCAAGAGTCACCCAGGGAGAATGACATTGCTTGAATTTCTTTCCTCAAAATATTCACTATTTACCTGCAGACAAGAAAGACGAGTCACTTTACACACATTAATGGGACTTTAGTCCCTTAGGACTCTAATGTTCGAGTCAAACATAAATGGGGGAGGGGGAACAATCAGCAATGTCAAAATCTCTAGGGGAGGGTGTATGCCATTGGAAGAAGTCCCCAAGTGGTTTTATAATGGTTTCCACCTCAGCCCACTGAAGAATTGGTATAAAGTGTAAAAAACATCCCTTCTGTTCTGGAACCCTGGTGACAGTGGCTACTGTGGCACTAGCTTTTACATACTCAGGATCAGCCCTGTCTGTGCTGCAAGGTTTCTACAAGGCAAGTGATCTGGTTTCTAAATGAGTGGTGAGTTTAACTCTCTTCCCCTCTCTGGAACCTGAGGTTCATCTTTGAGACTATCCAACCCAACATTCTCCAATTCTACAAAAAGAAAAGTACACTAAGCCCTAAATCAAAGCCTGGAGGGTCTAAGCCTTTAAGACTCAGCTCTTAAAAACAGATGCAACTATTCTCTTCAAGGACAACCAATTCCCTATACAGACAGAAGGGATACCGTTTAGCAAAACTAGCTTGAAAATATTTCTGCAATCAGAAGCCTATTCCCAACATAATCATATTTTAAGTCTGAGAATCCGAATGTCAACTTGCTTAAGCCTCAGGGACCTTGAACAGGGAAGGCCAGCCCAGTTTTACCACATAGGTTAAGGCAACTCACTAGGGTAAACAGCACCTTGCACAAAGCACCCACTCATCTTTCTTTAGAGATGTGAACTTGCAGCTGGGGAAAACCATCTTAAATGAGCACAGGATAAAGAAGCCTGGACCTGTCAGCACTTCACAGTGATCACAAGCTCAGAAGCCCCACCATACTTTATCACAGAACTTCAAATGGAACCCAATAAGTGCATGTAGAGAGTGCATCCGCCACAAGAAGGTGGCGAGGACAGAGGCTCAAACCCCTTAGGTGAGGGGTATCTGACAGAACCAAGGATGGCCAACAGGAGATAGCTGAAGGCTGCTATACAAACAGTCCATCTGTTCTGCCATAGTAGGGTGGCAGGCAAAGCAACCACCTCCCTCTTTTTCTGGCAGATTTCCATGTAATACAGCTGAAAGAGACAAGGGCACTTAAACCTACTTCTGCCTCTGAGGGCAGGAACCTAAGGCTCTTTACCCTGAAAATGAAAACTATCCCCAAATCCTATCTTTACACTGAAGTGAATGAAGTCAATCCAGCAAGGAAAGCAAACCCACTGACTTACACTGAAGCAAGAAGCGTTGCCTCCACCTCTTTTTCTTTGAACTACTTCCATGTGGACACTAGGCGTGCAGCATTAAGGACCACAGCTGCCAGTCAGGGAGTGATACGAGAATGTTTTCTCCCACAACTACTTAGGCTTTAGTGAGTGAGTATATTTTTGAGAAGAGCATTTTTAAAAAGTCAACTAAAGATTTACTTAGAGCCCGTCCGGGCGTGGTTCAGCGGATGAGTGTCGACCTAGCGATTGGGGTTCAATTCCTGGTCAGGGCACATGCCCAGGTTGCAGGCTTGATCCCCAATCAGGGGCATGCAGGAGGCAGCTGATGAATGACTCATCACTGATGTTTCTATCTCTCTCTCTCCCTCTCTCTGAAATCAGTAAAGATATATTTAAAAAAAAAAAAAAAGATTTTCTTAGACACAGGTAAATACCTAGAGAACCCTTAATTCTGAAGTTGCCATGTTGGATGACCTTCTTTGGCTAACTAATTACAAAGCACATTTCCCTGCTAACGGACCCCTCTGTGAAGCAGCTTTCTGAAGGCAGGGTTGTAATTAGGGGCTGCAACATGACCAAATCTATAATCAGCTCCAGCAGACTGAGATCCTGGTATAGTCATGAAAGTGGCCTTTCATTTCAGGGTTACATTTTTACATGTGGACTTGATCCATGAAATAACTTTTCCATTACAAGTGATACATATGAACCAAACTCTTAGCTGAAGAGCTAAACTCACTATAACTGGGATGGCTAATAAACAGGCTAAATTATGCTCCCCAGAACCAAAAGACTTGCAACCCTTATGTTTCAAGCACTTTTTCGAAAGCCCGCAAAGACATTTCACACTGAAAGAGTTAACAGCTGAGAACCTATCCTGGCTGTTGGAAATGGATTTGATTCAATCTTGGAAAACAAGCTATGCCAGAAGCACCATGGACTGACCTGTTGTTTGCTTTTGTTTTCTGTAGCTGCTCGTCCTGCCTCGCATACCACTCTTCCAGCTCCTTTATTGCCTTTTCTTTCCACTCTGCTTCTTGCTTCCGAGAATTGGCATCTTTGAAGGGAAGGAAAAGAAAGATAATACAAATGAAACAAAACACAAATTCAAGTTCATTTCATTAGTCTATTTTGGTCTTACTAAATTTATGCTGTGTGCAGGTATGTGTGCAAATGTGTATTGGGAGAATAGTTGGGAAGATAAAATTCTATTTTCCCTGTTTGTCCATCCAGCTCTTGATCTCAGTGGTTCTATCCAAGGTGTTTCACATTTTATCCCAGTCCACTGACATTTTAGTGATCACTAATTGGTGGTTGGTTTTTGTTCTTTTTCTTTGGGGGCGGGGTGCGCCAGAGTGGAAATACTGACTTTTAATGGAAGCAAGCCTTTGGCGGCACCAACCTGGGAAAAAGCAGTTACAGATGATTTTTTTTTTGTTTTGTTAATCCTCACTGAGGATATTTTTTTCCATTAATTTTTAGAGAATGGGAGGGAGGGAGAGGGCGAGTGGGGCGGGGAGAGAAATATCAATGTGAGAGACATGTCAATTGGTTGCCTCCCCCATGCACTCCGCTCAGGGCCAGAGACTGAATCTATGACCTAGGAACATGCCCCCTGACCAGGAATTGAAGCCACAGCCCTTCAGTGCACAGGCCAATGCTCTAACCGCTGAGCCACACCAGCCAGGGCTACAGCTGATTTTTTTTTTTTAATGTCTTTATTGATTTCAGAGAGAGGAGGGAAGAAGGAGAGGGAAAGAGATAGAAACATCAATGATGAGAAAGCCAATGACTGGCTGCCTCCTGCACACCCCCCCACTGGGAATCAAGCCCACAACCCGGACATGTGTCCTGACCAGGAATCGAACCACAATCTCCTGGGTCATAGGTCAATGCTCAACCGCTGAGCCACACCGGCCAGGCCAGCTGATTCTTTAATAATGCTGCTAATATTAGTTCAGGGTAGGCTATTCATATTAATCTTTTAACAAAATCTTCTCACAACTTATATTCCATACCTCAGGCTGACAATTAATGGTTCTATAAAATACAAGATGGCACTCTCTTAACTAAATATGATGGAAGCACTTATATGAAGCAGGGAGCTATAGGAAAATTACCAGAGGTAATAGTAGAATATATATGTTAAGAATTGGGAAGACCACAAAATATTTATTCCTGCTTAGACTGCACAGTGAATTTGTGACAAAGTGAGGACAGAATTAAGAGAGAAACGCCAGTAGAGAACTGCAGGAAGTTGGGGATCATTACTAACAGTTATCTACAAAGGTTCTAGAAATTAGAGAAAATGCACACCTAGCAGGAAGTTATGTGTTTAAATATGGGTTTTCCTAAGTCACTTAGCTAAAATAGAGACACATCAGTAGATAGTGGGAGAAAATGCAATATAAGTCACAGCCACTGCTGCAGTTGACACCTGAAGTTACCCTGATATTTCACTTGAAACGAGTGCTTAAGGACATCCTTTCTGGCAGGTGTTTTGTAGACATCTCATTTAATCTTTACAATAATCCCAAGAAGATAAACTGTAGTGTCATAGTCGGCAGTGAGAAAAAACTATAGCTCAGGAAGTTTGAGAAACTTTCATGAAGGTTACAATGAGTGGCAGAACCAAGACTCAAAACTCAGGTCTGGCTGTAAAGCTCCCATGTTCTTACTTCATTATGCTGCCTCCAAAGGGCACAATGGCAAGGGAAGCAAGCCGAGAAATAGTCATAAGATGTGACTAGAAGGTGGTTGCCATTGGTCCAGACTAGAGTTTGGACAGTGCAGAGCCAAGCCCAACCTATAATTAGTGTCCTCAAGGGGGGAAGAGTAGAAAGCAGTGGTGATGACAGCCATCCAAGGGAAGAAATGAAGCATTTGGGGGCATTTTTAGGGCCTTTGCAAAAAATGTCTTGTAGGAACAACCTGCAGAAAGCAGTATGTAACTACTAGAAATAGCCTAAGAGCATCTAAAAACTTCCCCACTGTTTCACATTATAAAAGGTGACCTATTGCTCAGGATAATTATTTTACTCAGATTTTCCACTGGTGACTCAAGTACACAGAATAAACTTCTGGTGCGTGTCTGTCCATGTCACTAAGTATATGCAGAACAGAGGGTGCTATGATACGAAGGAAGATGCCGACGACCGACAGTGTCATGTGGGCAAGAAACTGAAAAATACCATTTTTAAAATGTTAAATTTTAAATTTAATTTCAAGACTGGTGAAATTACTTCTAAAAATTATTTTTTGATTATTTTCTTTCAGTGTAGTCTGATAACTTTTTAAATGTTATCATATTGTAGGAACACAGTATCATGGAAATTTACCTCTAAAAATTTTACCTAAATAAAAGTTGTGACTACCTGTACAAATTGTACTTATTATATAAAACAGTCCCTTTAAATTATCTTACTTTTACAGATTTATGAAGTGACACTGGCAATAACTTAGAATTCTTAAATGTTTAGCTTGATGAGACAAAGATACAAGCCATAATTCAATTTCTTTGAATCTGAGAAGGGGGAAGGAGAAATAGAGTCCCCTTAGAGAGAGCAGGGCACACTGACAGCTGTCTCCTCCGGCCATCCTCATTACTATTCACAGAAACGCAAATTATTTAAGAACGGCGAGAAGCTAAGCTGCAAACCATTGACACTGGTTCTCTATTCTTAGCATCTTGTGCCTACTCACAGTTCTTGCAAGGAAAAAAGGTGAAGCTGAAGAAACACCTAGTTCATGGGCCAATTCAATTCAATCAGAATGTACTTTGTGAAAAAAGAAAGATAAAGTTGGGTTCTGTAACATGAAAAACAGTAGTACTAATCCTAGCTAAGTCTTGCCCCTAAGCCTACTAAGAAGAGATATATAAAGAACAAGCAAGGACTGAGGCTGCCAGCACCATGAAGACCTATTTTTATCTTTCTAAAGCTGTACTATCCAGTATAGTAGCTACTAGCCACATGTGGCTATTTAAGTTTATTAAAATTAAGTAAAATTTAAAATTCAGTGTCTTAGTCATACAAGCCACATTTCAAGTGCATTATTAATAGCTATATGTGGCTAGTGACTGCCATACCAGACAGCACAGAATATTTCCATCATCACAGAAATAACTAGCAGATAGTGCTGTAAAGGTTCAGACATAAGTGTGCCCTGTGTTCTGAAAACCACATAAACTGGTCTAGAGAATGAATAGATTTTACACTAAGTAGCTGTGTTTCAGGGTCATGCCTCTTCCTACTTCTAGGTGTCAGTTACCCCATCTGAAAAATAGAGGAGTCACATTTTTACTAGATCAGTGGTCCCAAGAAGGAATAATGCTGACACTGTGGCTACACAGAATAACGTTATATTTCTAGATGTACAATAAAATACGCATGAAGTATGTGATGTCTGTATCTTAAAATGGATTAAAAAAAATTATGTGATTGTATAGTCACAATACATGTATCTTCTTTCAACTATTCTGTTTGAAATTTTAATAAAAAGCTGAGAAAAAATATTCCATGGATAACATCCCCACACTCTGCCATCTCTCTCTAACCTACATGTAGATACCAAGCCTCTCCTGATCTTGCCCAACAGTTGACACTCCATGTACGTAGCTCTTCACGGGAGGCCAGACTGGCTGGCACTGATCTTGGGCTCAGCCTGCTCAGCAAGATGGTGTACACTACATGCAATGTGGCTGAAGAGATGGGCATGGACTCTGAAGCAGGGCAGATTTAAGCTGACATTCTGACTCTATCACTTCTTAGCTGTGTGATTCAAAAACTTATTCTAGCCCGGATGGCGTGGCCCAGCGGTTGAATATCGACCTATGATCCAGGAGACTGAGGTTCGATTCCCAGTCAGGGCACATGCCTGGGTTTCGGGCTTGATCCCCAGCAGGGGGCATGAAGGAGGCAGCCGATCAATGACTCATCACTGATGTTTCTTCTATCTCTCTCCCTCTCCCTTCTTCTCTAAAACCAATAAAAATATGTTTAAAAAAATAACAACTTATTCTCCCTATGCTTTTCACTTTCCTCACCCATAAAAATGTAAAAACTTACCTTCCAGGGATATTAGGGTAAGAAAACCAAATTGTATGTTTCCTAACATAGCTCACATTTTCCTCTTAAGTGCTACATTAAATTCAGCCTTCAAATGATAAATGGACTGTCTCTCACATGGATATAATACCTTCAAGTTTACAAAAGCACTCTCATAAATACCATCTCAGAGTACCTGCTGGGTTGGTAACACTGATCTTACTCCTCTCAGATGAAGAAATAGACTCTGCAAGGTTTGTGCAACCAAGTGCCCACAGTTGGTAAGAATTAAGGGTGGGCCCTGAACCCAGTCTTTCACTCCAAGTCCACGGCTCCTTTCCCCAGCACCACTCTGCTCTTCTTGAGAGGAGAGAATGCAGTTGGTGGCTCTCTGGGCTGCCCTAATCCTTACACAATGGCCTGTGATTACGCATCTCCACATGAGTAGCCTTGTGACCTTCAGGATGAAAAAGATGATCTTCCCAAACACTAGACAAGGACATTATGGCTAATTCAAGAGAAAAAGAAATAAAAGGAGAGTCAAGGTCAACTATTCCACTGAAAATAGACACCCAAAGACAGAAAGGGATTCCTTACCAAGGGCTTCCAAGCGTTCCGTTTGCTCTTCTCTCCATTTACGGATACTTTCAGGCTCTGATTGCAATCGATCCACTTGTGAAATAGCTGCGTAACTGTCTGTTGGACCATTGCTCTCCTTAATATAAAACACAATTGTACTCTATCAGTACCAAAAACTCCTTCCTGAAATGCACTTCATCCAAGTTAGAACCCCTGGTTATGTACAGTACTGAAGATTGTAAAATGTTAAAGGATTATCTTAACAGCAATAACACAACCTTACATGCTGATAGGGAGCTTTCAACATTACTGCACTTAATCCTTACAGTCCATGGGGAGGCAGAGTGTTATCCTATCTGTTAACAAATGGGACAGGAGTGGGAGATAGGAAAGTCAAGGAGGTGAGTAATGGGCTTACTAGGAAACAGTGTTATCAGTTTTGGTTTCTTCACTTGACACAGCGATTATGTGTATTTTCAAAGTAACAAAGGTTAAGTACACAGTAGAGCAAGGCTTAAAACTCACAACCTAAATGCTATTATACAATGCAGGAAAGAGGTAAATTAATACCACCTATTCAAAATATAGTGAATTTGAGGAGAGTCCAAAAGAAAATGTTTAGTTATTGTAGTCACATCAAAGAAAAAAATGAAAAGACAGGCAATCATGAGTCGTGTGTGTGCAGACTTCTTTTTTAGTGGGTTAGATTTGGGAGCTAATAAATTGACAAAGACTCAAACAGAACTTATTCTTTAGATAACTATTTCACCTCTTGAAGTAGGGATTATCAGTTTAACCCAACTAGACTATAAACAAAGGTGGAAAAAATTTAAAGTATTATAACTAACTTATTAGCACTTTCCATGTGTCAGGCACATAAAAACTCTCTCTCCTAAACACCTTGCAAAGCAAGTTTTTTTTCCCCCATTTCACAACTGGGGAGTCAAACCGAGGCATGGAAAAATGACATGTCCAAATTCATAGCTCATAAGGGATAAAGCCAGGATATGAACCCCATCTGTCTCACTCTAAAGACCAACCTCTAAACCAGGGATGGGAAGCTATAGCTCAGGCCTCCCACCTGTTTTGTAATTAAATTTACTAGATCACAGCCATACTCATTCCTTTATTTACTGTCTATGGATGCTTTCATATTATATCAACAGAGTAGTTTAACAGACCTTATGACTCACAAAGCTTAATAACCACCATGCTATTTCCCAGACTAAAGGGATTACTTTGTTGGTCTGGAAGGAAATGCAGGATTTTCTGGGGTAGTTAGAAGAAGATAAGAAACCTTCGTTTTGTTCTAGATCATATGACATGCACATGTGAGGCCTGGAAGTGCTGCAGCCATTTCACCACCATGAAAAATTACCTGAGTATAAAACTGCACACTCAGCAAGCAGGGCCAGAGTCCTACAGAAATTGAGTCAGAGTTCAGGTCTGAGGACACCTAACCTATCTCAGAGCTCTTTCAATTATAAAAACTAGCAAGTTCTCTACGATTAAGCCAATGTAAGTTGGGCTGTGTGCCTCAGTTTATTCATCTGTAAAACAGGAATAACAACAGTACAGTCCCTCAGGTTGTTGTGAAAATTAAATAAGTATAAACAGTGCTTGACACAGTGCACCACAGATAGTGTTTAAATTTGCCATTATCATCATCATGAAGGGTCATTTCTTAAGAATACAGTTGGTAACACCAGGGCCAGGTCAGTAACATTTTAAAAGAATTCTCTATCAGTGTCACTTCTCTTCAAATCTTTCTACATTGGCAGGTAACATATCAGCTACTAATACATCCAGTAAGTCAAGGGAGTGGGGTCTGTCCTAGGTCAGTCAATTCAAATCACAGGAAATGAAGACTCTTGACCACTATCATTCAACATAATCAGAGTACTCTGTACCTGGTAGTATTCGCCATTCATCACTCCATCAACAGCATCTGCAAGACAAAAGAACGAAGTATGTCAATTAGGACTGGTCAAATGCTAAGCCAAAGGTTCACAGAGTAAAATACAATATTGTATGCTGTAGGTACTATAAGTTACTCACTGCTATCTTTGTGCTAGGTATTAGATATAACAATGAACAACTTTCTAATTAATGAAACCAAGATGTGCTTATATACAAACAATTTCACCAAAACGTGGGCATCTGTCCCAAGCTCCAGCCCAAATCTTTTGAGATTCTGCTTTCTGGGTTAGGAGGTAACACATAGAATCATGGCAGAAGAGTCTCTCAGACAAACTGTTCTCCATGAAAGTTCTGGAGAAGGAAAAGTATGGCCTGGAATCATGCACAGTGAGCAGAGATGTGCAGCTTCGTGTTCAAACCAAGGTGCTTTCTTGGGGGTCAAGACTCTCCATCCTGTGGCTGGGATAGGTTTTTGCACCTAATGGCCTACAGTTGAGACTTCTTGCTAATTCCTACAGTGCACCTGGAATTTTTCCAAAACAGTAAGACTTAGACATACCAAATTAAATCAGTCTTTTCAAGGATGCAAATTTAAAAAATTCAGAGTGAGATGTACAATCCAGTCTTATTGACACAATTATTCATAACCAAATGAGAAAGTCCATCTCAGAAATATAAAAAATCCTAAGCAAGACCTAGAAACTATCAATCCACATAGTACAAAATCATGGCCCATAGGCTGAACCTATTTAAAATACAAAGTACTAAGTCAGAAAATTCCACAACATCAGGACTTCCAGGTTTGGGGGCGAGGGGCACAGAGACAGGTCTGGCAATAATGGATCTGCATTCCTGAATTGGCAACACTGTCAGAAATGAGGGTAGCCTTTACATGTAGCATGCTCTGGACAATTTGCCAGTCCCCACTAGCCCCACTTCTTTTAGGATTTAAAAAATATATATCTTTATTGCTTTCAGAGAGAGGAAGGGAGAGGGAAAGAGAGAGACAGAAACATCAATGGTGAGAGGGTCATTGATCGGCTGTCTTCTGCACACCCCTGACTGGGGATTGAGCCCGCAACCCAAGAATGTGCNGGTCATTGATCAGCTGTCTTCTGCACACCCCTGACTGGGGATTGAGCCCGCAACCCAAGAATGTGCCCTGACAGCAAATCAAACCATGATCTCCTGGATCCTAGGTTGATGCTCAACCACTGAGCCATGCCCAGCTGGGCTTTTTTAAGATTTTTAAAAACAGATTTTTAGAGAGAGAGGGAGAGAGAAAACATCAATCGGCTCCCTCCTGCATGCTCCGAGACCTGAATCAAGACAGCAACCTTTTGGTGCACAGGACAATGTACAACCAACTGAGCCACACTGGCCAGGGCAAGGCCCATTTTAAAAAAAAACCCATTCTGTGTTACACTCATTTAGTTACCTGACTGGCCTGATAAGCATGTGTTCCTAACCTAGCCATCATTAAGAAGCAGTCCATACATGGCTGCACACCATCACTCGAGTGGCTGCTCTGACTTCCTTCAAGAGTCTCAATATAGACACAATAAAAATTTAGCTTCCACCTACATAATCTGTATTCTGTATCTGTTGGTTGACCCACATTTACAACCTCTTATATAGAACTTCCATTATTTTGTCCATTTCCCCCCCCAAACTGCAATGACATCTTATTGCATGGAGTAGGAGAGGAAAGATGAAAGAAGAGATGAACCTAAAAGATTTAAGAACTCAAGTAACAAAAGGAATACCAAGCATTTAGTGTGGGCCACCATTAGGAGGCCCTCAGAGGCAGTATATGGAAATATCTTGCACAGCTTTCCTAGAGGCCTGGGGCAGGTGCTGTCAGCCTCATTCTTTCCTTCTAACAGGGAAAGATTTCATCAAACCACTCCTCTGGTCTTGGTTCCTAACTAATTACAGGCATATCTCTTTTTTATTGTGCTTCACAAATGTTGTGGTTTTTTTACGAACTGAAGGCAAGACCCTCAACCATAATAAAAAAGATTACGACTCCCTTTTATTTTAATACTCGCTTTATTGCAGTGGCCTGGAAACAAATCTGCAATATCTCCGAGGGATGCTCATAAACCCAACTTTAACTGCCCATTTTCCAAATCAACACTAACATTTTATCCATTCTTTCGGTTCTCTTGCTTCTCCCAATTACCCTTCTGTAGGCTTTGGGAGTATTGAAAACTTTCATACATCATTTCCCCAGCATGTCTCCCTGCTACCAAAACATTCTGTTTTAAAAAAGGAAAATGGAGACTGAAGAAAATGCCATGCAATTTAATTACTGAACCCCTTGGTTTCCTATCCTGTTAGTTTATCTAATGTGTATAGATAAAATTTTTCAGTAAAATTGGACTCCTACAACATAACCTTTTTTTTAATAACCCATTCTTCTGTATCACTAAATCTCAACTTTCTTAGTATGAAGACACCTACTCCTTACCGCTTCCAATGTGCCAGGCACAGTGTTAAACACTTTATATACATTAAGTTTTAATCCTCACAACAAACCTGTATGTATCAGCACTTTACAAATGACCTTAGAATAATACGCAGGGGGTTCCTTGGGGTGAATAAGGTACTCTTGAAGGGGCAGATCATTGATTACAATGTTTTCTCTTAAATTTATTTTTTATATTTAAAATATGTTAAGAAAAATATTAAATGCATGTATTATGAAATAATCAGCCTTTAAAAGGTGGCACAAAACCTTAGTAATCCCTGAAGTCGGAGGAAAGATCATCTGATAATTTGATACATAAACACAAACTGTGGGATCTAAGCATTTACCAGCCCAACTCAACTTTGCTGTTTCAACTGCTGGTTATGAATCTGGATTATTTCAACATATATACATCATATAGAATAACATCAGTAAGGCTAGAATATGACCCATTTGCTGGGTAATAAAGCAAGCCTCAATAAATATCAAACAATTGAAATCATTCACAATGTCTTCTGACCATAATGGAATTAAGTTAGAAATCAATAACAAAAAATGAGAAAATCTTTGAAATTAAGCAGTGCACTCCTAAGTAACCCATGGGTCAAATAAGAAGTTACAAAGGAATGAGAAATTATTTTGTATTCAATAATAATGGAAATACAGGTCATGTTAAAATTTGGGATACAGTTAATTCTATACCTAGAGGAAATGTTATAACTTTTATAGGGTGTCCCAAAAAAATGTATACACACTTAATAGCTGATAGCTCAATTGATACTTCTTTCTTTTCAGATTTAACCCATTGGAATTAATTATTCAAAGTGTGTATACATTTTTTGGGACACCCTGTGTGTGTGTGTGTGTGTGTGTGTGTGTATTTTTAAATGTTGAGGGAGTTTTCCTTTCCTTCACCAGAGGATATGTTTATTAATTTTAGAGAGAGATGAGGGAGGGACAGAGGGAAAGAGAAGGGGGGAAGAAGGGGGGGAGAAGGAGAAGGGGAGGGGAAGAAGGGAAAAAGGGAAGAGGGGAGGGGGGAGAGAAACATCATTAATTGGTTGCCTCTGGTAAGTGTCTCCAATGGGGATTGAACCTACAACCTAATTCTTTTACTCCTGTGCTTTATTTATGATAATACAAAAATAAGTTTCTCATAGTTTTTGTCACTGGCTTTTTATACTTTAAGCTATTTGTGTGTCACCTACCCATATAACTTTTTAAATATATTTTTTTAATTTCAGGGAGAGAGAAACATCAATGGGAGAGAAACGCGGATCAGCTTCCCCGCCCCCTCCCCCAACTGAGCCTGAAACTGCAACCCAACCCACAACCCGGGCATGGGCCCTCACTGGGAATCAAACCTGCAAACCTCAACCAACTGAGCAACACTGGCCAGGCCCCATATAATTTTTAAAAGTGCTCTATAAAGTTTTGGAAATACAATTCCTCAAACTTTCATTGAGATTGACTTTTATCATGTTTTTAAATTTTTGCTAATTTGATAGCTGGAAAAAAAAATACTTAAGGTGGCTTTGCTGTGCTAATCTTATTTCCTGTGAGGTAATTAAAAATCTGATATTCGAACTATCTTAGTTTTGCCCATTTTTTTTGCTATCTTTTTATCTCTAAGTAAGTATGCTCTCTGTATGAATTAGTTCTCATACTACAAGTGCTTTCCCCATTTACTTTTTATATGGTTTATGATGTTTAACACCTAGAACTACTTAACTTGTACTGTAGACGCTATCATTTTCCCTTTACGATTTCTGTATCTCCTTTTATGCTGAAGGCCTTTCCTACTCTGAGATACTCACTTTTCTCCTGGTACTTAAAAAAAAAAAAAAATCCTCTCTTTAATCCACCTGGAATTTATTTTTGTGTAAGATAGAAAAGAGGTAATTTTAAATCCTACAGCCTACAAGCCAGGCTCTAGGATTTAAAATTCTGGTTAATATATTCCAGCTAACATACCAACTATTCAGTTAATATATTCCAGCCCAAGACGATTCCCAACAGGAAAGACTTTGATCACTACTCCATCACTAAACTCGAAGCAGTTCTCATCCCACACCCCTTAAGTCACATGCTGCCTGTCCTTTGGTCTGAAGACTCATCCAGACCCACTGGCAAATGCTTTGAACTCTTATTCGTTACCATACCACTGTGCTAACAGTCAACTGGCCTAAGTCAAAGGATCGTCTTGCTACAGAAACATGCAGAAAAGACATCTAGGGCACCTTGATTTACTAGGACAACTAAGCTAAGCAACCTGATGCTCCAGAAGGAAACTGTCTAGGGCCTCCAGACAGCAACAAGGGTCAGAATATGTTTCCAGAGATGAAAGACTCTGTCCCAAAACCCACCTTCAACCTTCCCTGTTCCCCAACCTTTGAAGTCAAGCAGACTGGGGTTTGAATTTCAGTGAAGCCGTGTATTAGCTTGCTGCGTTGGGATCACTGCTAAAATTCTATAATGATCAGTTCTCATCGGAAACAGGATGACACTACCACTTAGCCTGCAGCTACTTACTGCATAAATCTGAAAGTATGGAGAGAACCTGGCATACAGTAAATGGGCAGTACTACTAAATACTATGCATGAAATTTCCTTGCACTTCGCTTCACCACTACCAAGAAAATTACTCTCCTCCTCCTCCAGCTTTCCTTTAAAATTCATGTACCTCTCTTCCTCCAAGACAGGACCTGACAGAAACATGAAATAGTGCCTTATTGCCATACTCCCTCACTAGCTCCTTAATTACCTATTTTCCTCCCTCCTTAGCCCTCATGATTGCAGGCTTTCAACAGTTCTAGAATTAGACTGCCTCTTTCCTGACCACTTGTTCTTCCTCAATATCCCAGGGGCCAGTTCACCCAGCAGGTTACCTCTAAACTTATGTATCTTTTCACTTCTCCTGAGGGAGTCGACCAGGGTTCAAGCCTAATCCCTCTGGTTTCTGCCTGCCCCCATCCTCCATGGGCATTTCCCCCAAGGCTAGGAGTTGTTTAGGTATGTTCCTCAATCTGTTAAGAGCCTCCTGCCTATAGATCTCTGTATAATAACACATCAGATACAGAGCTCCCTCCTGAGCCTATAGGCCTTGTAACACACTTCTCTCCCTACGCCTAAGAAATAGTAGCCAGGTACTGTGTGTTGTAATAATATACTGTATGTAAGCATGTTACAAGTGCTTTCTAAAGTAATCCTAGCAACCCTACATGGTGTATATTTGCACCTTTTACAGAGGAAAAAACTGAGGCAAGGCAGTGGCGGCTATATAAGTTGCCTGAAAAGCTACATTCACACAAGCAGACTAGAACAGTACGGAATCTTGAGAGAGAGGGAGGAAGAGAGAGAATGAGAGAGGGAGAGAAAGAGAGAAAGGAGGAAAGAAAAAGAGAAAGAAAAAAAGTGTTCAACTAGTTCTCTAATCCCCCAAGGAAGTGCTGACCACTGCACTATTACCAACCCCAACTACACTGGCAGAGATCAGGCTTTCAATCACTAAATGCTTAGTTCACTAAGAAAGTCCTTCCTAGGAACTAAGTCAGCAATCATCCCTTCCTTCCCTTTGCTGAAAGCTTAGTGCACAAAAGACTCGTATGTCCAACTCTATTCTCTCCCTTTTACCTCTCCAAACTGCCAGTCACCAAGATCTGCTGCTTCCAGACAGGATCCTTGGACCTGACACTTTTGCCCATTCTTCTGTATCTGCTTTGTGCATACACCCGCTAGGTATTGTGGATACAACAGTGAACAAGAGGCAGCACTGTTCTTGAATCAGGACAGTCTTTTAACTATGGGTCCTGATTCTCCCAAAGCTGTCCTACCCAGGGCAGCCACAACTGCTTTTCAGAAATGATAATCTCTTATCCCTGCTAAAACTACAGCGGATTATGTTACAGTCAAAGGATGGGGAAACAGGGCTCAGCTATTAACTTGCCCTTTTTATTAAGCAAGTCACTTCTCTGTATGACTCATTTTCTCTTCTATTAAATGAAGGAGGTAAATGAAGGACCTAAATAAGTGTGTTCTATGATTCTTAGGCAAATGCTAAAGACCACACAAGAACAACAAAAGAAAACCTTTATCACTTAAAGTCAACTTCATCTCCCAGTTACAACCCAGTTCAGTCCAATCTGCTAGCTATAAATTGCATTTTCAGATATTACATATTGTCACCTATGGGGGACAGATTTGCTTAGGAGGCAGCGTGGTATAGTATAAAAACTCAGAGGCTATAAACTAGCAGTCTACCCACCTCCACTCTCCCAAAAAGGTTCTGCCTGGGCTAGCATAGTAATTTGAGATTTCGGAGTCTGAATGTTTTTATGAATAGCACTGTTCTAATGCACCAAAGCCTCAGTCTCCAACACTCATTATCTCACACCAGCATGTTTCTTTCATTTATGTTAACTGCTTGGCCCCTTAAAGTAACTCCCATCTGCCCCACCCATGCCCTATTCTTTAATTAGAATTTATAAAAAGTAAATGAAGGCCCGAACCATGTAGCTCAGTTGGTTAGTGTTGTACTGATATGCCAAAGTTGTGGGTTCGACCCCTGGCCAGGGCACATACAGGAGTCAATCAATGAATGCATAAATAAGTGGAACAACAAATCAATGTCTCTCTCTCTAAAATCAGTCAATAAAAAGTAAATGAAAAGCCACGTCTCATTTCATCTAGCTAATTTCCTACGTGTCTATGTTATTAAGATCTCTGCCACTCATCCTTTCCTCCATGACAATCCTAAACATCACACACAGATAAAGCATTAAAGGTCAAATTGGCATTCTACCGCGTTTTTGTGGCTTTTTTTTGCTTGATTTTTGTTTTTCCTTGAGCGTGGCTGGGAAAAGGCCACACAACACTCTCTATTTGCCTCTTGAAAGACTGGTCCAGGCTAACCTTACGTTCTGCTTAAGCAACACTGCCTACCAAAGCTGTTCCCAGACGAAGTGGAGTTCCTGGAGTCCTAGCCCCAATACTTCAAAAAATGGTAAAACTCTCATCCCTCTTTGGTCCGAGCTTCTTTCTCCAAAGCTAGATGTCTTTCTTGAGTTTCCTATTTACTCCTCCTTTCCTCTCCATAATCCAACATTCTGTGCAATTTAAGTGCTCAATAAATGCATCACTGCTATTTTTGTCTGTATGTCTCAAAAACGAAACTATTTTTTTCTCTCTCCTCCTTTCCTTATAACTGGTTCTGTGCTGGGCTCAGACTTGCCTGTAAGTCTTTGCCCAAACTGCGCCAATGCGGCTGTACTTCAGGGGCCAGGCTCATGGCACAGCAAGTGCTCAATGAAAAGTTCCGGAATGGAACGGGCTTCTTCGGGCTCCTCAGCGCGACGGTCACCCTATTTGCTTTGCTTTGCTTTGCTGCTCTGCCCGCGCCCAGGTGCGTTCAAACACACTCACAGAACGGAGTTGGCGTCTCGAGCCAAGGTTTCAGCATGACTGGGCCGGGGTCTCGTTTCCTCTCTGCACTCCTCCTTACCCTCCCAGCTCAGCAAATAAAAAGAGTTAGAGAGCTCTCAGACCCGCTCTGGGCCGACTTTCCAGGTAAGTCCTCCCGCCTCAAACGAGCCCGCACTCTCACCCGGACACCCCGGCGGCTCTCCATGCGGCTGGGGCCCAGGGGCGCCGCCGTCAAGGATGGCGAAGGCCTCGTCGTTCTCGATGCCCGCAATCTCGCTCTCCTGCTGCGCCAAGAAGGCCGCAGCCGGGTCTTCTTCACCCGCGCCGGCCACCCCGTTCCCCAGCGCGGGGCCGCCGGGAGTGCCGGCGGGGGCGCCGAACGGATCTAGTTCAGCCATGACGGGCAGTTCAACGGCACGGACACCGACGCTGAGCGACAACCCAACAGACCCACCAACACCCTGACCAACAGCGGCCGCAGTGGTAGCGACTCCGCTCGGACAAGCAAGAGGAGGGAGAAGACGGAAGCGGAAACCCTGCCCCCATATCCGGTTGGTCTAGGTGGTGTTGGAGAGCCGAAAAGGTAACAGCCAGTCAGAGGACAGCAATCGTTCAAGAGCTACCCAATCAGCAGGAGGAGGGGCGGGCCCTTGAGGAAAACTCGTGACTGGGGCCGCGCCGGGGCTGAGGGCGGTCAGCCCCGTGGGCTCAAGAAAGGCGGAAGCAGCGCCCGACTTGAAGCGGCGCTGCCACCCAGGCTTTAGGACCGCGCCGTCCCGGGTCGACGCCGCTGAGGGGACGGCGGTGCTGACCCCGGAGGTGAGGTGAAGTTAAGACTGCGATGGTTGGCCGAGTTCGGAAGGGGCAAGCTACTTAGGCTTTTTGAGCCTCAGTTTCCTCATCTGTAAAGTGGAACTGGGAATCTTGCATTGCCTCTCTCCCAGGATTGTTGGGAAGACTGAATCCTTTTACGGCGATATACTGATTTTATTTTTAAATGTATTTAACTCACCCAGCTGGGATTTTCTCCTTTAGAGCTGCCTGACTTAAACGTGATTAATTTAAATCCACTCTGATCGCCCCCCATAGTATTTTTATTAAAAGGCGAATATACCCCCTTTTACAAAGTCCTGTTGCCCCCAGTACGTCTTTTCAGAGCTAGACAAGTTCCAGGAGCTGGAAAATTACGTAGGGATCACCTGGTTCATAAAGGAAACTGAGGCCCCTGTGGGAAGAGAGGTCACACAGGGAGCCAGTGGCCAGGAAACCCAGGTCTCCTCAGCACCTCCGTCGTACTAGTCACAGCCTCTTACATGTACACACCTTTTCCCGCTAGGGACTTTTTTTTTTTAAGTTCCTTCGGTATTTTAAGGGACATGCTTATAACATGGTTAGGTATTGTTGTCTGCAACATAGACGTGATAGTGATTCCAGTTAGTCATGCTCATGTTGAGGAGGGGAGCTTATGCAATAGCCAACACTCCTTTACCACCCCACCCTAAAGAGGAAAAAAAACCACCAGACAACCAGAGGTCAATTATGTCTCCAGTAGTAGTCAGCAAGGGGCAAGAAAGTGGTTTTTTAAAATATACAAGTATTTTTTGTATTTGTTTAAAGGCAACAAAGCCTATGAGAGTTATTATATACCAAGAATCCAAATCACAAGTGATAGCCATGTGCCTCTCAGGAAAATCCAGTGTGTGGAACTCCTAAATTATAAAAAGGTACAAGATGCTGTAATATAAGATTGCGTTAAGAAGCAAATTGCCTAAGACTGCAATGTTGACTTTGAGATACAGAAATGAATATATAAATATTTTCAGAAATAATAAAAAGTAATTGGTGCCCTGGCCAGGTGGCTCAGTTGGCTGGAGAGTCACTTGCTAGAAGAGGCATCACATACCCGAAATCAACTAATATACATACACTCAAAATTAGGAAAATCAGTTGAGGAATGACCTCACAGAGGGGGTGGCTTGGAGCTTAGTTTTGGAATATGGCTAAGATTTAAAAGAGTCAATAATCGCGGCTTAATATTACTTTTGTGCAGAGCTTCAGAATATGGCATGTCTAGGGGACAGTGAGTACAGGCATACCTCATAGATATTGCAGGTTCAGTCCCAGATCACCACAGTAAAGCGAGTTATATTTTTGCTGGCGGAGGGTCTTGCCTTCAATTTGTAAAAAACACATCATCTGTGGAGCACAATAAAGTGAGGAGCAATAAAATGAGGTATGCCTGTTAGTTTGGCTGGGCCAGAAAAGCTTAAGAGGGGGAATAATTGAAGGCAAATCCGGAAATGTGATGGGACCCTGAATGCAGCCCACATAAGGAGCCTTATTAGTGATAGGGAATCACTGAAGTTTTCAGAGAAATGGAAGGGAGGCTAGTGATACTTGGTTGAGAAGTCCTAGAACAGTTTCCTACAGGAGGTAAATCCTTTTTTAGTTTCTGTCTCACCCACTCGACCTTTAGGTGAGGGCATGTCTGCCTTGCTTACCTTTGTATTGTCAGAGTCTAGCATTATGCCTGATACATAGCAGGTGCTTGATACGTATTTGTCAGTGGACTGAATGGAGTAGCATTTGAGACAGATCCCGGAAGGGTTGTGAGATATGTGGGATAGAGGGAAGAGAGGCAGAGGGTGGTCCTGTGCTCTGGGAAGTGATTTGGCTAGATGATGGAAGAATCAGGGAAAGCACACGCATGTAGCTGAAGAAAGTGTGGTAGAGTCAAATTATGGAGGGCTTGAGTGCCCAGGTGAGGATTATTCCTTAATTGCAGAGGCTGTGAAGACCCTTTGGAGGATTTTAAACAGGCAGTGACTTGGTGAGAACCTTATTCTGGAAGAATCTTCTGGCAGTGTAAGAGAGGGTTCTGAAAGGAGGAAGGACAGTTAGGAAAGTCAGCTGCAGTCACTCAGGAGGGAGATGAGGGGGGGCCAAGGGTGACGATATTGTAGGGCACAGAGCATTGGGTTCAAGTGGAAGGAAAATAGTGGACGTAATGTACACAGTACTTGATAAGTGATAGCATTTAGGAGACAGAGGAGAGTCACAGATAACATTTATAGCTTGGAAACCCCTGGGGAGAAATAGCCACAACAGGAAAAGCCAGATGAGTGGAATGGGGCAGGAGATGAGAAAAAGGAAGAGTCCAGTGTCGACATATTGAAACCAGAGACATGGGGATATTCAGGAGACATTCAACAGGCTATTGGAAATCTAAGTCTAAAGTTCAGGAGAGAGGAGGTTTTAATTCCAGTAATGGTCGGCACAGTTGTTTAGTGTCAACTCTCCTCCTGAAAACAACTTAGACGAGCTGGGCAAAAAGTTTTTAAACTCCTTTTAAAAGTTTTTAGCCTTCGAGGCATCAGAGGATGAACAAAGCGGTGAGGAATTGTGGCCCCAAGTTCTAGGAGAGGAGGGAAGCCAAGAACAACAGTGAATCTAACATTTGGAGCCAGTTTTCCTCTCAAGGTGATATTTTTAAAAGCAGAGTCTGAGAAGCTGAGTAGAGAATTCAGTAAACAAGGCTGGGGTAAAGAAAATACCGAGGGGCCCTGATAAATATACTGGGCTTTTTTTGGAACCCTGAAGGGCTACACACTAGGAATAAAGGTGAAAATAGACTAAAGCCCAGCTTTAAGTTATATAAATCCTTGATTGAATTAAAGTGATTCAGGCTTTCTAGTGTTCTTAGCCTAGCACTGCCTGCCAAAAGCAAAAGTAAATTCTCTGATAGAAAAAATGACACCAAAAAGTAACTAGGCATGTAAAGACAAAACATGCTCAGAAACATTTTCAGGTACAAACATATAGTAGAAATCCCTGGAGATAATGGAGTTATCAGACCTAGACTTTAAAGTAGCTATGATTAATGAGTTCAAGGAATTAAAAGAAAATGAGAATTTCAGCAGTTTGAAAATTTGAGAACAAAAATTTACAGTAGCTGATATTAAGAATTCAGAGGATAAATTTTAATAAATTTATCACAGCTGAAAAGAGAATTAGTGAACCAGAAGGTAGAGCAGAAAAATATCCAGGCTGAAACACAGAATCAAAAGGATGAAAAAACACAAAAGAGCATAAAAGTCACATGGGATATGAGAAATATTTAGAAGGAGAGGAGAAAGAATGGAGCAATGTTAGAAGAGAAAATAGCTAATAATTTTCCAAAATTGATGAAATAAATCAAGCTGAATATTCAAGAATCACCATGAATTCCAAACAATATAAAAAATACTCCCCTAAATGAATTTTTAAAAATCTGTGCATCTTGTGCACTTTTAAATTGACATCTAATTTTTTTCATAATAATTAGTTGCCAGGGATGTAATTTCTAATATATTATAAATATTGATCCTTTCAAATAAAATTGTTGCATTGCTCTTTTAAATCTATCCAGTGGCTTCTAAAAACCATAGTGATTTGATACCATCCATTCAAAAAATACATGACAAAGCTTTTCATTAACCTTAATGTGAAATTATTACTTTTGCTCCATGAATATATACTACCATTCCAATACTTGCCCCTAAATTCTATCCTATTAGAATTTTGTGCTTGAAAGACTTATTGACCTTTATAATACAGTAGCATCAACAAATAACACTGATATAAAATCCATGGGGAACTGTATAGTTCTAGGGATGAGATTCATGAAATTTTTTTTTTTTAAATATATCTTTATTGATTTCAGAGAGAGGAAAGGAGAGGGAGACAGACAGAAACGTCAATGATGAGAGTCATTGATTGGCTGCAGCCCGCAACCCAGGCATGTGCCCTGACCGGGAATCGAACCCTGATCGCCTGGATCGTAGGTTGACGCTGAACCGCTGAGCCACGCCCAGCTGGGCGAGATTCATGAATTTCAAAAGCAATTCTGTTGGTGTGTATACACAACCTTTCACAATAACCAAGTATTGTCAATTATAATTTACAGAATGCTATAATTAAAATTTGTATTTCAATATGTGGAAAAAAGACTTATTGATCAATTTATCATACTGCTTTATAACAAAAATATGTAATATAAATATAATTGATGTTTTAAAAATATCCCATGATCATAAGACTTAGAATGTTAAAATTTTGTTTTGGATTGACATCATTTTAATTATTAACAGTATAAGCAACAAAAATATACCCCAAATTTTGTAATTATTAAATATAAAAGGTAAACTTTTATTAGAAATTCCTGTCTTAATGAGATAGGCTTGTGTTATCTATTGCTGTGTAATAAATTATCTTGAGCCTTAGAATCTCAAAATAGCAGACATCATTTCACATAGTTTCTGAAAGTCAGGAATCTGGGAGGGCTTACCTGAATGGTCTTCGCTGTGGTTTTGATGTGCATTCCACTGATGGCTAATGATATAGAGCATCTTTTCATGTGATTTTTGGTTATGTTTGTCCCTTCTCAGGTCCTTTGTCTGTCTTTTAATTGTTTTGTGTGTTGTTTTTGCCTTTTATTGCCTATTTAAAGTCATAAAGACTTACACCCATATGAGACTGCTAAAGGTTTTCTAAAAATTCAAAGTCAGAAATAAAAATGGGATCACCAAAAATTATAAAGATCATAAGAGAATATAAA